TTTTCAAAGTCCTCACTATCCACCTGAGCTAGTTGAACAAAAAGCTAATTAAATTTGCTTTATTGTCTTGTTTGACACTGCAAGGGGTTGTCGAAAGCATGTCTGCATGTTGGTTTGACTTTGTTGATATGTCTTTCAGCCATAATGCTGACTTGCTCTTAAAGCTGTTGTATTTGATATTTTCTAAGTAATGGATCAAATGGCTGAATTGTAGTGATGAACAGTTCACTTTAGCGCTATGGAGCGTCTTTCAGGTCATTGATTTGGTTCAATTCCTCCGCTCTCATCAGTGACTGTTAAACTGTTTTCAGTTAAAAAAGCTCTGATAAACCTGCTGTACACTACCTGCCCAGAACCAAATAGCAAACTTAGCTAGCTAGTTGCTAACTAGTTAGCAACTAGCTGGTGAACATATTGGAGCATTTAACAACTAAATTGTGTAAAAGTGCACTAATTACCAAGCAGCAGAGCCAAAAACTCTGTTTTATGTTATATTATTTTCTACAGTTTCTGTTTTATGTTAGTGTTAATATTCACTTATCTTTTGATAATGAATGTTTGATGTAGAAAATGTTACATTCAATAAATATTGCTCATAATGTTCTCTATAGTCTACTTTTTCTTAAATAGACAGATGTAGCAAACTGTTTTAAAGAAGGGAGGATTGTTGTGGGACCACTGGTGTGACTGTGTGGTAAGGGCAAATGATTAACATGGTTCAGGTAGGGCTAAGGGAATGGTTAAGTTAGCAGAAGTTTGCTTAGGGCCCCAGACAGGTTAGGACCGGCTCTGATGATTAGGGGAAGCTTAATATATGCAATAATGTAGATGCCATATATTTTCACTTTTCGCTGTCTTAATAATTCAAATAATGACTAAAGCTTTCACAGGGTTTTCCTTTTGTCTGTCGATTTTTGGGCTTTTTCGGGCCAAGCACGTTTGTTTTTAACCATTTCCTGTATTCAACACCGGCAGCCTGTTGCCCCGGCTGTGTGTAAGTTATCTCCTAAAGCCCACACTAGAGGTTAGGTCTAAATCAGCTACTAATATGGGTTGCTCCACAATTACTTGGGCAGACCTTCACTAGATTAACTTGGGCGTAGTTAAGCCGTAACTATGGCAAGTGGCCCTGTGCATTAGTAAGCTAGATCGATATTGAAATATCATATCAATAAATTCGGTCTCTACTGGATTAACATTACTGTGTAGCAAAATGACATGCAGTTAATGAAAAGTTATGCTGAGGGGCAGAAAAACGGCAGTTTTACCATTAGAGAGTATAATGCTGTGACAGCTCTACACCTAGCCTGTGTGGCCTGTGGCTGCTCAACACCTTGTCTGTAAGTTACTGAAGTTACTAACCATTTCACACAGAGGACCAGTGACATAACAAACCAGTATTGACTTTGGGACTGAAGTACAGGGATGGGTTGAAACCAACTTTATATGCAGTTTTACTGTTATATAGTATGTTAGCCAGGTGAACCTGCTACTAGCATGCTGCGTGGCTAATGTGCTAGCGTCTTTTCCACACACTGAGCAGTGTTGGAGTAACTTCATTTCATACTAAGAGACAGACTAGAGCACATGTGTCAAACTCAAGGCCCGTGGACCGAATCCGGCCCACCACGTCATTTTGTGGCCCGCAAAAGCTTTGGAAGATTCATGACTGTCCTAAAATAAGTCTATGCTGCCATAAACTACATCTCCCACAATGCATGTCGATTTTGTGACCCGAGAAGTGGCGGCATCCCGCCACTAAATTGCGATGTTTCCACACCCACTAAGGTAGTTTTCCGACACGTGGAGATGAGAAATGTATACAAACAATCCCTAAATGTCCAAGACGAGAAAAAAATTTCATGAATGGTGGGAAAATGAATACATGTTTGTGCTTCAAGGAGAAAACCCGGTAGGCTATATCTTTTGTGTTATGAGGCAGTGTCAGTGATGAAGGATCAACGTTAGTTAAGTTAGCGAGACTACACGACTTGGCCAATGGCCGTGCCGTTCACACTACACAACTTGCCGTCTTGTGTCGTTGTGGCATCACAGACTACACGAGCTGACAACGACTCTGGTACCTGACGCTGGTCTCCAAACCATGTTTTGTCAAGAAAACACAAGTGAAATGTGAAACGGGAAATGGCGCAAACCTACAGACAAAACAGCTGTTATTATAAAGACAGCAATTATAAAGACAAAGAATATGGGTGAAAAGAATGGATTAGGACATGCAGGTAGCAGGGATTGTCTGAGCTACAGAAGAGAGCTGGAGGGGAGTAAAATGTGTTTTGCGGTGAAAAAGTAGCTGCCTGCTCTGCCAGCTGCCTGCTCTTTGGCTGGATGTGGATGTCGAGTCGGCCGACTTCTGCAGATATTTGGCATGATGTATATCTGGCTGGCGTCAGTGATGTGTCAGAAATGTGTCGGGGAGCCATTTTAATGTATTGTTGAGTAGTTCACACATAACGACTGGCGACCGCAGATCAACTGCTGATTTACTCCCGATTACAGCCTGATGGACACCGAGCTCTCCGAGCAGCAAATCAGGCTAAAAATCTTGTAGTGTGACCTAGGCTTAGGCTACAGTAGCCTATACGTCTGCATTTTTCCAGGTAATCAAACTGTCTCTCATTAGTTGGATGTATGACCTCTGCAAGGCTGTGTGCAGCTGGACTATTTGTTTTATCAAATGCCACATCTGTCCTTCATGTTATTAGCAGCTCACAATTATTTGCTTTACCATGGTTCTGCACCTCTGGACTGTGAAAAAGTGAAAAGTTACTGTAAAAATGAAATGTTTGATCTTTTATTGATGGAGTAATGAGGGTTTTTAAATCTGATAAATTCATTTATTTATAATAACACAGAGACATTTTCTTACTATGGCTATATTTTTACATCTGATAAATATCCTTGAATACATAATCAAATAAAGAGAGTTATTTAACAATATGTTAAGGAGTAGTTAAGTTTATACAGTCTTGGTTCAGTAGCAACTGGCCCTTCGAAGGTAACCGTAATGCTTACGTGGCCCTTGGTGAAAATGAGTTTGACGCCCCTGGTCTAGATGAATTGTGTGAACGTTAAGCCTTGTATGAAGTAAATTAAATAAACACAGTAGTAGGTGTGGTAAATTGCTTTAGTGGGATTTCACTGCAAAGCTAACATAACGTTAGCCGCGTTAGCATTAAGCATGGAGTCCATCAAAACACCACAGTAGTCGGTGGGATGTGGTGAGTTACTTTTTGTGGAACTACTGTAACGCTAACGTTAGCTCTGCTTATTAAGCTGTCTTCTGCTCTGGATGTTCGCTGGTAACGTTATGTGGGTCTGTTGTTGTTGTGATATGCATATGTACCTGATAGACCCTGTGGTACACATGTGAAAAACAAATGGTCACTTTCTTTGGTTTAACTTTAACATGAAGCTGCAAACTTGCTCATGCCCCAAAGCTTTAACGTTAGAGAACCGTTGGGCAGTGTGTTTAAAGTCAGGCAGAGACCAAAACATTATAATTCAGATTTACTTAACATTAACTTGCAGCTATACTAGTATCAGGGACAATGCTGCAGCTCTGTTACAGGTTCAGTGTAATAAATATAGGAATACTGCTCTTCTGCTGCATCGTGTAGACTGGCAATGCATTATAAGCAACAGTCTCACTTAGTTTTTTGGTTCGTCACAACACCATTTACATCTATACTTGATAAAAATTCAAGCTGAGCAATTCAAATTCAGTTTTTTAATGCAAGTATTCAAGTTGAGCAATTTAAATTCAGTTTTTTAAATGCAATTATTCATGTTGAGCAATTCCAGTTCAGTTTTTTAAATGTAATTATTCAAGTTGAGCAATTCAAATTCAGTTCTAAATAATTCAAATTCAGTCTGTACTGATACAAAAATCAGCCCATAGTCGATAGGTTTCCCTAAAAGCTACCTAGCAAATCAGCGATCTCAGTCACTAGTCAGTCAGACAGCAGAGATGAGGCGTGATACGTGGATGGCAAGGTAGAGGAGAAAAATAGATCAGAAACTGACTGTATAATAACAGAATGTACATTGCTCTGATACTCTGCTTAAACAGTGTTTTGATATTTTCGATATTTGTTACAGATTCACTGGAGAGTGCACTTACAGAAAGATTTAATTGTCATCAGCTGCATTTTTGCACACTGCCATCAGAATCTGGAATGACTTTGAGTGTTCAGAGCAGAGGGTTGCCCCCCTTGTTATATTTTATTTACAGTTTGTCAAATGATATCAATCAGATATTGTAGTTTGTGAGTAAAAACAAAAAGTACTAGTAAAAAGTAATACTGTCTAATAATTTAATTTTTAATTTTCTCAGTCAAATTTGCCAGAAAATCAAAGTTAACACATCTTTCATGTTGAATTATAGTGATGTGCTATCTTGTCTTATC